GAAAGAGAATGTGACAATGAATGTATGAATGTTCATGTATAACTGAAAAATTGTGCTCTACACTGGAATTTGACACAACATTGTAAAATGACTATAACTCAAGAAACCAAATGTTTAAAAAAATGAAAGATACTAATCCTAACCTTGGAGGGAAAAAAGGGATTCATAACCTAGATGAAATGGACAAATTCCAAAAATTGACTCAAGAAGAAATAGAGAATCTGAATAAACAGAAGGAAAGCAGGGTTCAGCACAACACAGTAAAGCACAGGAAACCACAATTCTGGCTTAACAAATTATTCCTTGGTTCTGCCTCTTGAAGAATATTTCATCATACATTATTCATCTTAATTAAAGAAATGTGTAGTTTCTATGTATAAATGATAACAAATACTTGAGATGTTTTAATCTTTAGAGGTTTTCATACTAGTCTAATCGAGCAATGTTGATAGTTCCTAAGGAAATTAGAGTATATATTATCATTTTTGTTTATTCCAACCAAATGGGAAAATTAACCTGATAGCCCCTTATGTATGAGAAATGGTCAGGACTTCTCAGTACTCCAGTATTCTTTAGTTGTGAACATCAAATGAGACAACGTAAGTGTGTCATGCTTACTGTGAAACAGCCTAGTTTTCCAGATGCTCAATCCTTTTCTGAAGTGTCTTGGGACCTTAGGATCTTCAGAGGTGTTGCTAAGCAAATTTCAGTGATATCATTTTACTTCATCTTATGTTTTAAAATAAAAAAATAAAACACTTAAATTTATCAAGTCTAACTTTTTACTGCTTTGTTTCTTTGACCTTTGTTAAGCAAAGAAATCTATTTCTCCACCATTTTATTTTACAGAAAGCTGTCTTGGATCACTTGCTTTGGAAGAAGCCAACTACTGTACTGTGAAGACACTCAAGCAGCTCTATGGAGAGGGTTCTTCCCAACAACCATGTTAGTGAGCCATCTTAGAAGAAGGTCCTCCAGCCTCAGTAAAGCCCTCAGTTGACTGTAAATCTGGCTGATTTAGTGCAATTTATGAGAGACCCTGTGTCAGTAAGACCCTGCTTAGCCTTTCCCAAATTCCTCACCCGCAAAAACTATGAGATAAAAAACATTTACTCTTTTAAGCCACTAAGTTCTGAAGTAATTTGTCACACAGCAATAGACAGCTCATACAATAAGATATTAAGTCCACATGTCACCCAATCTGAAAATATCTGAAAAGAGCTTCTAGGTCTGATGGTAGGAGATATCTTTGCAAAATAAAAATAAATGGCACATGAGACACGGTCAGTAAAGGCGACTCTTCCAGGTTTCATGTTCCTGAACAGTTTTGTACAGTATTTTTTTAGAAGGCTTACACTCGACACTTCCTCTAAAGAGCTGAAGAAGTAACTATCTGGCCATTCCTGAAGAAACAAGCTTTCAAACATGGAAGTTACACTTAAGCATATCTGAGGGAACTGGAGTCTGCAGGACCATTTGACAAGTTTCTATCAATACAGACCATTCCAAATATTATCACCAATAAATGCTTATTTCTACTAAAACTTTAAGTCTGTAAGAAGAATATGTGAGGTTATTTTTTCTGAAAATGACATGACATTGTGACTTGCAATTCATCAATGAAGTACTTCAAAATTAGAGTCATGCAACAGTACGACACTGGGGAAGGGACATTAGAATCCATACAGGTAGTTTCTCCATCTCCATGTGTAAAGATTTAGCTGATGAAGTTTAACACAAAGACATACAATTAACAGGTTTTAAAACCTTAATAAAAAATAAAAGCAGTCCAAAATTTAGGAAGGGAAGATAAAATTTTAACCTTTGAAAATCTTCACTTTCAAAGTATTCTTTAAAACATACAGTTTTGGGGTCACCAAAGTCTAAAGAGTCCCTTCTTTATTAAAGAATTATGAATCTTTTTATACAATGAGGCTTTTCCACAAAAAGCAAGAAAAAATTATCTTAAACACAAAACAAAATTTCATTTGTTTAATATAAACTTGGGAGGTATGTGGGGTTCTTTGGTGTTAAATAAAGTAAGTTTCTCTAGACACATTTCGGAAGGATTCTTTTCTTGTTTCTTTTCATCTACTTTTAGGAAATTTATTTACGGAGAGTGTCATAGAACGGGAAATAGAATGCAATATGGTAGTTCATTACTTTGCCCCTGTCCAACAGATACAAATGAGTTATCTCCATTAATAAAGAGGAAGACTGATTTAGGTGAACTTTATATATATACATATATGAAAATATATATACCATATATATAAAACATTTATAAACTTACATTAAAACTATGTAAGTCTAACATATATTATGGGTTTCTCTCCAGATAAAGAAAGCAAATAGTGCCAAGGCAGAACTACAGAAGCTTGCCTCTTTCACATTTTTTGTTTTTATTTTGTTTGTTTCTTTTTTTTTTAATTTAAAAAAAGGTTTTTTGGTGGGGGGAGGTAATTAGGTTTATTTATTTATTCTTAGAGGAAATACTGGGGATTGAACCCAGGATCTAAGCATGTGCTCTACCACTTGAGCCATACGCTCCCTTCATTTTTTTATTTTTAATTTTAAAAAATTTATGAATGTGCATAGCAACACTTTTTATGGACATGAATGCAGACTGGGTACCCACAAAACGTGATGCACATATGTGGGTAATGAAAGACGTTAGAAAATAAGCATATACTGCTGCTCCTGTCCTTGGGAAGTACGTTCTCCAGCAAGGCTTATCAGCACAAATAGTGGCATTCAGTATTTTCACAGCACCTTAGGAAGGACATGCGTGACCCTTAAGACAATGGCCTTTTCCTTAAGGAACTAAAATGTGGGTTCAAAGTTTATAAAAATAAAAGAATCCAGTAAAGATAGTAAGATGGGCTGTCACAAGAGAGAAAATGGCTTATTTAAGAACCCAAAGTCCTAACAGTGTAATATATATTATATTACATAAATATTTACGAGTGCATACATGGATATATGTATATATGTGTACACACACACATTTCCTCAAACTGTATTCTTCAATCCTAAGAAAAATAAGGATTTGGGTAAATTAAAAATCTGATATTAGAGAAAGGAATGAGTGAGTTAGTCACACTTCTTTCTGGGTCCTTGGATTGCCCTGAGATGTGAATGTGCTTGGGAACTGAGGAAAAGAGATGGGATAATGAACTTGCCATTCAGGGCACAAGGCATAATTAGAAACGAAAATGCTTCCAAGTCACACTACCTTTCAAAGAATTAATTCCTCTGAAATATCTAGATAAAGGAACTTCATTCACTGAAAGATTCTATGCAGGCCCATTTACTGCTTCTCCATATGATCCCTAACACAGTACACAAAATCTCAAGGAAAAAGATGGTGGGCAGCAATAACATTTTATTATTCTAGGATCTTAAGTTTATATGTTCAAGGCTGATTGATTTTGGCTATATAAAACTTTCATGTATACCAAATATAAACTATAAGGCTAAGAAAAAACATGAATAAGAAAAAAATAAAGCTTAAATTACCAAAATTACTTAAGTATAGATAAGTCATATAAATCAGAATAGAAAGGTTAAAGCAATATATTTTTGAAAAATGTCAGTTGACAATTAGAGATTTAAAATGAACTATGGTAAATACTGAGAAAGCAAAAAAAAAAAAAGTAAATGCTAAAAATTAAAAAGGAAAATGAAATAGCAACAAAACAAAACTACCAGTAATCAAGACAATTTCACCACTACCATTAGGAACATTAGTGGGAAATTACTTACAACGATCAACGTTAGTTTTACCTACTATAAATGGTTAATCATATCGCATTCTGCTGGGACTTGGGATACTTTTCCAGTGCTCTGGGGTTTCTATGAGAAGTTAAATGAGCTAGTTCTAGGAGTCTTCCTCTTTCCTAGTCAGAGTCAAGCTTCTTTTACTTGTTTTATATTTTAATGCTGCTTAACATTGGTCTGAAATAGGAGTTTCCCAATCCCTCTCCTACCCCAAAAGTTTGAATATCGTTATTTCACAATATTATAGAAACCAAGAACTATTTGGATGAAATGAAAACATGTAATTCTTTGATAAATCAAACAGAAGAAATCATAAGTGGTTATGATTAATTTCTTCTTATCATTATCACTTCTTTATCATTTAACCTCACTTCTAAGTAGATTTTACCTACTGCATTAAAAAGGCACAATGGGAAGTATGTACAAAATTATAAACTACTAGAGCGCAAGACTACATGTACCAGTTTCACAGCACCCTCAGTGCAGTCCAATGATGACTTTGTTGTTTGGTATATGATACAACAGTTCTCCATGCGTGGATCACTGGAGAAACATAATTACAAGTATAACATACCTCCTCTTTGATGAAGTTCTCATTGTATATATCATCTCAATAATAAAAGCTTTTTGTTCCCACTGTGGCACATTTCAAAATGTGTCCACATGTGTATCTGCGTGTTTATTCAAGCATTAGTGCCTATGAAAGAAATGCTTCTCAACTTTGGGATATAAATTTTTTCCAAATTTTCTAATAAGAATAAGAACATAGTATTTATCTTTTGAAAAACATCAAGAACCCTATGGAGGTCACACAATAAAAACAACAAAATATGATCAAAGTATCTTTTAACTTTAAGAATGATGGGTTACAAAAAGCAATGATGGGAAAAAAGACACTATAACTCAGAATATCTGCAAATGCTATTAATTTCATTGTTGCTAAAGTTTCTGAAAGTTACAAGTTTTTATTTGAGATCACCTGAAATATAGCTTTCATAGGAGTAAAGTTTTAGAACCTGTTACATATTTTGTTCATTTTTAAAGTGATTTGCTTTGAAAATATAAAGACTTTTTGATTCAATATCTAAAATCCAGTATCTAATTACATAAATTAAGAATAATCCATTTTATTAAACTAAAAATAAGCTTTAAAAAGTAAAAGAAAAAAAAGATATACTCAGAGATGAAATTTACTACTAGAGAATTTAGGGAAACCATACCTCATCGGTGTTATAGATAATCTGGAGTCCTGAGGAAATCATTTCCACAAGGTAAAGGAGATAGAGTGACACTGCATTTATCTAAAAACAAACAACATTAAAATGTTAAAAGAAAGAACAAAAATATTATGTTATGAAATTAAATGTAAAAGCTAAAATTACAAGTCATATGTTCTAACAGTGGTACATAAAAACTATATCCTTTCCTATATGAAATAAATCAGCTGAGAATTTAGTTCATGATAAAACCTCAGCTTTGTAAACAAAACTCTAAAATCCTCAAATTCGTTGTGATGATGATTAACACATGATTAGGGACTTTTTTTTTTCTTAGTATATATATTTTTATTGAAGTATAGACAGCTTACAATTTGTGTCAATTTCTGGTGTACAGCACAATGCTTCAGTCACATATGAACATACATATATTTGTTTTCATATTCTTTTTCACCACAAGTTACTACAAGATATCAAATACAGTTCCTTGTCCTATACAGTATAAACTTGTTATTTATCTATTTTATATATATTAGTATGTGCAAATCTCGAACTCCCAATTTATCCCTTCCCACTCCCTTTGCCCACTGGTAATCATAAGTTTGTTTCCTATGTCTGTAAGTCTTTTTGTAAAGTTAAGTTCATTCATCTTTTTTTTTTTTTTAGATTCCACATATAAGTGATACCATATGGTATTTTTCTTTCTCTTTCTGACTTACTTCTCTTAGAATGACATTCTCCAGGTCCATCCATGTTGCTGCAAATGGCATTATTTTATTATTTTTTATGTCTGAGTAGCATTCCATTGTATAAATATACCACAGCTTCTTTATCCTCGGGCTCTTTTTGTAACATTTGCTTTCTAAGATTTATTTTCAAACTCTAGGTCTAAGTTTCTCTACTTTGAAACAGTTTTGCCCCAAAGCAATGTCAATCCATCTCAAATGTATGGTAAATGGAGAAGTTGTTTGGCAAGTAAGCCATTAGGGCTACAGCACATTATAAACAATGGGCAATGCACCTTGAAGAGTCTTATTTTCAGAGAATACAGAATTTATGTAAACAACTGCTGAAACATATTAATTTTAATTAATGATATAGCATATAATTTAAAATATTTACTAACAAATGAACTGTTTTAAGTGAGTTATTTTTTCTTTTAGTATTTAGTCTGTTAAAGGTAAACATTATGTGATCTAAACAAAACAAACAAAAGACAGTACTGTCCACTTTAACCAAAAATAAAGATTCTCACAGAATCCTGAATGAGATATGTAAATTTTCTCAAGAAAACAAGTAGTGAAAGATAAATACTACAACATGGACGAACATTATGCTAAATCAAAGAAGTCAGTCACATAAGACTATATGTTGTATGATTTCATTTGTATGAAATGTACAAAACGGGCTTATTCATAGAGACAGAAAGTAGACTGGTAGTTGCCTAGCGTTGGGGTCTTTGGAGGAGATGGGCAGTGACTGATGATGACTGGTCCAGGATTTCTTTATGAGGTGATGAAAATGTTCTGAAACTGACTGTGATAAGGATTGTACAACTCTGTGAATGTATTAAAAATCATTGCATTGTATACTTTACATAGGCAAATTGTATATTACATGAGTTATATCTCAATAAAGCTGTTATAAACAAATAAATAAATAAAAAGCAGTGAAAATTTTTCGTTTAGCCAGGAAACTGCTAACTTGAGTTAAAAAAAGAGAGAAAACAAGATATAATTTAGTCCCTGTATAATTCCAACCCAGATTATTACTCCCTAGCAGCCTTGATGTCTTATGTTTTCCTCGACTCTCCTCCAATCCTTTGAGTGACAGACAGAAAGCTGGGGCAGGAAATTATTTGTGCCCTAGACACCCTGGACATAGCATGCCGGTGCCACCAGGGCCTGCCAGTGCTCACAGGCCCCTCAGGAACCAGGACAATCTGGATGACTCCTGACTTCCCAGCACTCAAAGTCCAGTGAGTATCAAGTTCCTGTCCAGGTCCAGATGGGCCACATTAAAAAAAAACACAAACAGGATTCTGGTTTTAGGTTTTCCAGCTCAACATCAACTTTTGAGTGACCTTTCCCAGAACACAGAAGAGAAGAGCTTCACTCCGTTGCCAGGATCACCGAAATATTTCATTACAGCACTGACACTGGCCTGTCAGAAATGACTGCAAAGAAATCTCATTCCTAAAGACAGGCACTTACAGCAACACCTTCAAGAGCTCTCTGCTCTGACTTTTGGAATGCTTCTGTGAGAAAATATTCATAAGTGGCAAATGGCACAGGAGCTGTCAGATAGATAACAGACTGACCAGCACTTACTTGAAGACTACTAAGTGCCAGGCACTGAGCTTGAATTCTGGGATACAGAAATAAGTAAGGTACTATTTTCTGAAAACCTATTTCAAATAGTAAACATATTTGTCAAAGCAAAAGGCACAGAAAACCTAATTATGTGATAATTACAAGAAGGTGGAGCAGCTACATACTCATATAACACTAAATCTCCAAGGAACTGATTACAACTAAATTTAAGAGTTTCTGCTGCATAGAAATGTGGACACTGCACTTTCTGTGTTTGGAGGAGTCATCCTAAAGTAAGACATTTCAGATCACTAGAGAGAGAGGAACTATAAAAAGGAGATACTCTTATTTTAGTAAGGAATGTCTGAATAATAAGCATTCTGTTCTAAAGATCGCAGAACCAAATGATGAGTAGGAAGAAAACCCACTAAACATAAATAGCATAGATAATGTTTGTATCCTAGAAACAAGGCAATGGGATGTCCTGCTAAAGAGAGCACACAGATGTGACAGAAAAAAAATGAAAAAAAAAAACCCATAAAATCCTACAGTGTATTCTTAGCATATAAAATTTATATATAAAATTTAATATAGTATTATGATAAAATTTATAGACTCCAGAAATGCTTTTGGAATTACATTTTAGGGGTATGTTTTTAGCTTTATTGAAGGTTAATACAGTAAAAAATGAACCATCATGTAACAAAAACTTCTGATTTGTTGTTATATCGCTGTCAATTGTTTTTTATTCCCTAGTTCCTAAGTGTTGAAATTCTTCTAAATTTGATAATAAGTACAAGCTTTTGTCACTGAAAGAACTGTTGGATTCCCTCTTCTAGACAGGAACAATATTACGATCCATCCAGCTACCCGTTCTGCTTTTGCACCAAGAACTAAGGCAAATTTAATATTTAATCACAATAACTAATTCTGCCTTGCTGGGTTTCCTCGTTTCACGGTTGATTCTCTACTTCTACTGTGAACAATTTTGAAATCTACTTTTTAAAAATTGTAAATAGCCCCAAATCTTCTATGATGTTGAGTATAAACGGAGAAGAAGATTTGTAATCTTCTCTTTTTACCTGAAGATGACCATATTCCTCATAGGAAAGGATCTCATCTCCTGTGTGTACATTGAAAGCAGAGTGAAGACATGTTGTTGGGCGTGGATCCTGCTTAAACTGCTGGACCTAGAATCAAATATAAATTTTAAACAATGCTAGTAACTCACATTCCCATCCAAGATTAGAGATTACAAATTATTTTTCATGAAGCTTTTTAATGAGGAAAGCTAGAGCTTATAGGCAGAGAACAGAACAAAACAGATGTTATTTTTTCTAAAGAAACAAAACCAAAAAAGAAACAAAACACAGACAAAACTTGTTATTATTAAAAGAGTTGACATGGTTGTCAAATACTTAATTGACATTTCACAAACATAGCAACTCAAGTATAATAGCGACCTTACTAATGTAGTAGCAATAGCAATGGCTTTTGCATTGTTCTGCATCTTTTTTTAAACACTTTTTTATTGAGTTATAGTCATTTTACAATGTTGTGTCAAATTCCAGTGTAGAGCACAATTTTTCAGTTATACATAAACATACATATATTCATTGTTATTTTTTTCTACTGTGAGCTACCACAAGATCTTGTATATATTTCCCTGTGCTATACAGTATAATCTTGTCTATCTATTCTGCATATGCCTGTCAGTATCTACAAATTTTGAAATCCCAGTCTTTCCCTACCCACCCTCTGCCGCCTTGGCAACCACCTTATGCATCTTATTTTATTTTAGAGTCTAATAACAGTTTACTCTGTGGGACAGGATTTCAGGGATTGTATCCCAGTGTACTGCTATTTGGAAATGTTTACGTGACACTCAATGAAAAAGTGCTTCAGGCCATATTCTAATTCACTAAGTGTTCAAAATTTTAAATGCTATTTCTTTCTCTAAGGGTCACAAAGTAACCTATGCTCATGTCAATGTGTTTTCATTTCCTTTGCCACATATACTGTCATTACTAATGCACCAATTTTAAGAGAACACAGGCCATACCTTTACTTATTAATTGAACATAAAATTTAACCATTTTAGAATTCTAAGTAATAAATAAATGATCCAGGAAACTGCAAGGACAAATGAATATTAATTCAACTTCACAAACATTTACTGACATCAATTACATGCCAAGTAGTACTGTGCTAGTCCCTGGAAGTATGAGATGAACGGGAACAGAGGATGAATAGAATTCCACATGGCTCTATATAAAGGCAATGACTTTCTCCTCTCTTTGAAAGATATAAGTGATGGTAGTATCTGGATGGTTATAATCTTGCCTTGTTTCACCTGGCTAAGGAACCACATAGAATCATATTCTCTTCTCTACCTTCAAAATTCTTCTCTTCATACATCAAATCTTATCTCAAAAAAAAAATTCTTCTTTTATAAAGTTCCTTCTGAACCTCAACTAAAATTACTTCCTCTGGACTCCTACATGAGGGTGATTATCCTTCAATTATTTCTCCAGTCTTATGTTTTTATTAGTTGTTTGTATTTCCCACTATCTTATAAGCTTCTAGAAGTTACACTATCCAATATGATATCCACTAGCTACATGTGACTAATTAAATTAAATTACAATTATATAAAATTTAGAAATTCAGTCCCTCATACTGTTCATATATCAAGTGCTCGATAGCACATGCGACCTGTGGCTTCTGTACTGTTCAACACAGTAACATAGAACATTTCTATCATCACGGGAAGTTTACTGGACAGCACTGTGCTAGAGGGCTAAAACACCTTTGCACCCCGTAAGAACCCTACACAAATAAATAAGCCCTACCTATGACTGAAGTCAACAAAATGAAAGGCCTGTAAGTAGACAACTAGATGAGGGTAAAGGTAGGGATGTATGTCTTCTGTCTACGAAGTGGCCAAGTTATCCAGTGCTAACTCAGAGAAGGTGCGAATACTACCCTTTCGCAGTATCTAAAACTGCTGGCAACAGTCTTACAGACTACACAGACAGGAGTTACTGTGGTCACTCCTCTCCCAGTGCCATGATTATTATCTCAAAGTGCTGCACATTATTCTGGGATTTTAGACAAAAATATGGTTAAATTAAAACAGAATACATTTTGCCCACTTGGTAAGGATCTAAATGGATAAGGTTTTATCAGTTTAATAAAGTAAATGCTGCAGTTGACAAGGCAGTGTACATCATTTGTCTTCAAGACACACAAGAACCCAGCATGAGAATTTCAACTCATTCAATCACTGTGTCAGGGGAAAAGCAGCTACTAAATGATTAAAGATGCTCAGATGGGGTATTATATAACAATGTTTTGAGTCTTAAAGCTATTAAAAGACAAATAATTTTAAATTTCTGAAAAAAAGAATAAGACCCAAACTCTGTAAGCTTTGAAAATTAATGGGGGCATACTGTATATGAATTATAGACAATGTATACTCTTGAAAGCAGTCAAAAACAAGCGGACTTTAATTAGTATTTTATATGACATCTGGCAAGTAAAAATAAAGAATGAGTAAAGTAAAATTTTCTAGATTAAAAAAAATCTAAACTATGTTTTCTTTTCTGGTATTTTATTTAGATTTTTCCCTCAAAACTTTAATCACTGTGAATAAGCAGCTTATCAATCAGGAAAAGATAACTGAGTATTCTGTCCTCCATTCTTGATTTACAGACTCAAAATATGCACTTCAGCGGAAAAAATACTCCTATAGGAGAATCCTGGAAGACTAAATTTTCTCATGAATTACAAACTACTTAGCAGCATTTTAAACAAATAAAAATTTTAAGTAGATAATTAGGGACAGCAACATTCACAGCCTATTGTAAAGCAAATCCCTGCTCTCCAAACTGCGAAGTATGGATTGGGATCAATTCTAAAATGTGAGTATTTCTTGGTAAGGAGTATTAGAAAAAATAGGTATATGAACATTTAGAGGTAAAGAAAAAAAACCCTAATGTTAATAAGATAGATATTAAGACAAATGGCAAGACAATAATAGAAATCAGATTGCTCTACATTCTGCAAATCAAGAACAACTCTCTATTCACTCAAATTCATAAGAAAGTAAAAATATTTCCTTTAAGTAGTATTATTAGAAAATATGTCAGGAATCTTGTTTTACAATGAGAAGCAATAAAAGTGGAGAGCCTTAGACCTTCTAAGTCATGATTTTACTTCAGAAGATGGGCCTTAAGATCAAAGAGCACATGAACACTATAAATTATGCCTTACTTTAGTTTTAAGGAAGCCAAAGGATTAATATATTTCACATTTTAAAATATGGTAACAGTCTCTACTGCTATGGAAACATGAAGGAAATGGCGAGCACCAACAAGAGGTGACAGTATGGTGGGAGGCACTGAACTTGGCACACAGTGCAAGCTCCCTCAGACAGTAATATCCTCCATCCAATTATAAACAGTTATGAGGATCAAGAAAAATCACAATAATTAAAATGCTTCAAAATTTGCAAAAGACTACATTTTGTAATATGCAGAAATATCTAATCCTAATGTGATCTACACCTTCTTACAACTCACACTTATTTTAATGGTCTACCATGGTACCTACACAAGGCAAAAAAATGCTAATTCTTTATAATTTAAGGAATTCAAGACAGCTTAAGTTTCATTCAAGCTGTATTCAATTGTGAATACTGGTTAGTAAAGCTGAATAAATTTAGAAAGGGACATTACAATTAGTTAAGCTACACACAAAAAAATTTATATTACATCACTTCCTTCCTTTTGATAAACAATTCTAATTTAAATCTGTTAGCTTGGTTAGCAAACACAAGAAATTCATGGTTCTCCCAATGTTTCCTTGGGAGAAAAGTTAAATTCATAGGCATTAGGTGTTCATGAAATGATAAATGTGAAATAAACAGTAAACTTCTCATACTTTGTAAAAAATAACTTTAACCACAATCACTTCCAAATATTTCTGCATGAGATTAATTCAAGTATGTCAATATGACGTTATTACTTTATTTCAAGCATTGAAAAACCTTTAAAATAATGATTTGTAAAGTCAAGTCTCAGTAGACAAATTACAGGCCTGTCACATAACTCTATTATTAGCTTGTGAATAGATTTACTTTTTTTGTCAACATTTTTGTTATTCTGGTAGCAGAGCATTAGGGAAATTTTTTCTTTTTATTTTGACCTCAGATACAAGTCTTAAGAAAAAAATGTGCTATCACAAAAAGTTAATACAATAGTCACATGATAAAAATGTACAATATATTAAGTGATCAAAACTGCTTGCATTATTACTAATGTTCATCTCTGCTGATGAATTATCAAACCTGGGAGTAGTCTTGGGGCCCCACGACACTGATGTAAATATACGGACACTTACTATATTAGGATCTGAAAGCACAGAGATGTAGGAAAGTAAGGAAATACTACATTATATTTGTATACAGCTTTACAGTTTAACCAGTTTTATTATGTATTATTTCTTTAATTTCAAAAATCACCATGTAAAGTTTTCTGTTTTCTAAGCCTGTAATTCCTGCCCTCTATATATGTAAATGAATGAAGTATTATATTTTTAAACTAACCTTCACTTATGCCAGAGTATTAACATACTCAAAAGGAATTTTGATAAAGATTTTCTTAAATAATATAATATTGGTTAGAATTACAGGTATCATGAGGTTCCTGAGAAACTGAGTCTTTATCAAGCAAACACCAGATGCAAAATACAAACAGATTCAAGCCTAAATAACAGTTCTCAATCACTCTCTCTTATGGTGATTCTCCAGTTTCAGAATTTCAAAACCCTGGGCTGGGGAGGCAGAGCTGTTTAAACCTATCAAGACTGCCCAAGGATGCGGCTTTACCTTTACAAAGTACACTCTTCTTCAGAAGATGCTATTGCTATACTGGTTAAATTAATCCCTCAGAATGATGTGAGGATTTCAGTCCACACTGCAGTGTTTTACCTTATCGGCCTGACGCATATAGCAGTAGAGAATTCCTCTCATACATTTTATAGCCGAGTGCTCCAGCTCATGGGTCCTTCCCTTGTCATCATCAATGCGCCTGGGTAAGAGAGATAACTCATGAAACAAATTGGAAACGCATTTGAAAAGGAAGCAGAGCTTTTGATAATTAAGTATTTAACTATCTGGCTAATCCCATGTTCGGGTGACATCTACTAATTCTGTGACAGTGAAACTCCATTTTCCCAGCAGATGTAGAAATGCTGCCAAAAAAAAAAAAAATCAATCCAATGATGAAACTTGTGCAAATTTCTCATTCTTTTAAGGAAGTAAGCCAATTGCTTTAAAAATAGTATATAATATTTTCAAGTGACTTGGCTAAAACTTTAAACAATATTTCTATATTGCAAGAATCTGAAAGATTTTTAAAATTCATTGTTGCAGAGTACAGGCAATTTTAAATATCAATCACTTTAGGTTATGAATTGGCCACTTGGATTCAAGGAAGTGCAGATTAAGGTAGGCACATGTCTTCTTTGCCATCTGTTTAATAATGCCAGGGTGGGCACTTCAGTCAGGGATGCCTTCAAGTAAACACACATCCAGTATCATACATGATACATTGGGGCATAAAATTTTATGTTCTCAGGCCTTAGTTTAAAATCAATTGACCACAGTTCACATCTCCTGATTAAAAAAAAAAACAGCTAAAATCTAACTATTAAACTAGGTTAAGATGTTCTTCTGGCCTTAAGTTCCTTTTATCTTATTGATCAGCGGCATTCAAAAGATGAATGACAGTTAACCACTACTGAAAAAAAAAGTAGTTTATTCATTGTTTCACTATATCTCAACTAAAATATCTGGCCATCATTCTCACTTGATAAAAAGCATCACCTGTCTCCTTAAAAAGTATACTATAATACTGCCTCTTTCAATTACAGATCTCACAGACCACTACTGGAAAGAATGAGGATTATTTTAATATAGTACAGTGAATGTCAGTAAAAAGTAAGTTATATGTCATTAGAACATCATTCTTCCTTTCATATTCAGGCCCTGAAGTAAAACTAGCACGATTCTGCTCTGTGATTTATTTTTCCCCCTGATATCAGAGCCAAGTGCTAACAGAGGAAAATTATGGTGTGAGTAACAGTGGATGAGGCACTGATACACAAAGGAAACAGCACAACTGGAGTATAATGATCTCAAAGAAATGTTCTGTGTATAATTCCCACATCATCTAAGAACAAAAAAAAATTCAGAAAAAAATCAAAATCAGGTTTTTCTAAAATTGTCTTTAAAATAATTCTCTTCCTCTAATTTCCACAGGCATTAAACTAAGACTGAAATATTCCAGAATAATTCAGCCATTATAAAGAATCTTCCTATTTTAATGAGGTTCTCCTGTTTCTCCTTTCTCCTGCAAATAATAGTAGTAACCAGAAGAATATTTCTCTTCTGACTGAGAAAATGAAAGAGCAGCTGCATTGGAGTAAAAACATTTAGGATATATCTATTATCTTTCCTAAGATTTAAAGAGAACCTGGTGACCCAAAATAATCCCTCTATTTTCTACCAGGAATTGACAATATTCTACTCTCTCAGGAGCTCTATGGATGCACGTTCAGGTTCTAATATGATCTCAATAATACTTTTAATTTAAAAAAAATAAATGAAATAACTTTAAAATTCACTCTAGTCAATTTGTTGATCACAAACTATGTAGAGGGGTTGATCAGATTCTACAATATGAAGTCCTAATTTTATATCTAAACCAGAATTCCATATATGTAAATACATAACTAGTGAAAAAACTAAATACTTGAATTTTATCACTGGTGCATTATTTTCCCCATAGCCAGTCCTGAAGGAAAATAAAATCAGAATACTGTTCGGCTGTATGACTTGACTGTTTACCAGCACTAAGCTAGGGCCACCTGTTACATTCAACTCCTAAAATAGTGATAAATTTGACACTGGGAGGGGACAGGCCAATTTCTTGCAGGAAGATATTCTCTCTCTCCCTTAGAACTGCAAGGTATCTTGCCAATGTCTGTCTTGAGTTTTTACTTTTCTAATATATGCACATTTAAACAAGTTAATACTCTTTCAAGTTCATACTCTTTTAAAAAAATGGCTTACTCTTCTTAAATATAAAATCTAAATTCCACATTTAAACCCTAAATTGAAGTTATATTTTTTCTATAAGTTATATTAGAAAACAAAAAATGCAAAAATCCTACATGATACTTTTTAGCATGGCATTAAGTATAGGCTTAACTTTCTTTTAACAAATTTTGTATAATTGACTAGATTCAGAAACAGTTCTAACCTAAACCATGTAAATCAAAATAATTTAATTATTTACAAAATAAAATTATATAATTATAATAATATAATAACATATAATCATTTAATTATATTAATTATAATAAGTATATAATTAGAGATGATGTAATATAATCATAATTTTAAATGATGGTATATTCAGAACTACAACTTGATATATAAATTACATTTTAAAAAGTCAAACATACTAGTAAACATTTCTTCCCTCCTCTAAAATAGAACAGAATTATAAAATGGAACTGTAACATTACTTTTAAGAAAAACAAACAATATCATTGTCTTTAATGATAACATATTGACTATTTCTAATTAATTAAACAGTACCAAATTATACTCCTAATGTATATGAAATATAAATATGCATAAATAATCTTTTTAAATCCTCAGTACACGTGCATGTGCGCACACACACACACAAATTCAAACAGATGTGAGGTTTCATGAGATTGTTGACAAGACTGAAAACTATACAATTAGAAAAATCAAATTAGTCACATTTTTAAAAATTAGTAACTTTATATTATGCATTTATCACCAATAAGAGATAAATATAAATTTCATCAAGAGAAAACAGTGACAGCTTAGTTATTGAGGAATTCTTCTTAATGTAACCTATGTGATTTCATTGGCATTTACAAGAAGAACTAGAAACAAAATTCTATTACTTTTACAATAGGGGATTCTTTAAACAAATCACCACAGCTTAATATTGTAAATATAAAAAGGGCTTCATAATAATTCTGTGATAAGTACCCTTACATTTTTCCAAATGGAAGACATTTCCCTTCCAAGTAAGACAAAAAACCTGCTACTCTAACTACATAAGAATATAAATTAGCCAGGGAGTTAGTACACAGTTAGTGTGCCCAGCAAAGAAAGGACTTTAAATTCTCTATTAGATGTTTGAAGACTTCTGGGAAAAGGCCTGTACTCTTGCTTTTTTAAGCAATTTTCCTCTAACATTTTATTTAGAAAAATTTCAAATCTATAGAAAACCTGAAAGGATGCTACAATGAATAAACCTTTCACTATTCACCAGTTGCTAAAATTGGCTTACATTCTATAATTTATTTTCTTCATTATTTGAAAGTAATCTAATAATAATCACTACTCCTACACAATTCAGAAGTATCTCCTAAAAACAAGGATATTCTCCTACATAACCATAATATCATCATCACACCCAAGAAATTGATACCATACTGTTTAAAATATAGTCTATATCAAATTTATCTAATTATCTCAAAATATACCTCACTGTGTTCTTTAAATGCATGATCCAATCAAGAACACGCAATCCACCTGGTTGTCGTATTTCTTTGGTCTTTCTTAATCTAGCTATCTTCACATCTATTTTCTAATCTTCTACAATTACTATACTTTTTAAGAGCCCAGGCAAGTTGTCTTATAAGTAGCCACAATCTGGCCTAGTCTGATTGTTTATTCACAGGTAGATCAATTTACACATTTTTGGCAAGAAGTCGACATTAAGTGATGTGTCACATCTGTAAGTCTGTCCCATTGCTGGCTTGGCCATGCGGTTAAAGTGCTACTGGTGCTCCCTGTACTTCTAAGACTAGTAGTTGTTTGATATTTAATGAAGCTACACTGTGCTTACACAGATTATGTTAAAAAATACTGGTAGTGACATTAGCAAAGAAGGGCTGAAGGTGACTACCTGTATATTATCTCACTATTCGATTTTCTTTTACAAATGCAGCTCATCAATGATTTAAGACAGAGGAATCATGTTCACGTGAAAGAAGTACATGCATGTGTCACCTTGAGAAAATTAATATTCAGAAACCTAATCTTAATAATGGTTAAAATGAATGACTATTGAGTATGTGTCAGGACCCAGAGTGAATGCTTTCTATATATAATAAAATGAATGAAGTAAGGAGAACTTTTGTAGTATGAAAAAAATTTTTTTTTACTTTATGAAGGAATTATTTGACTTAAGATTTAGATTGAATAAGCTATACTCCAATGAAGTTCAGTGGGAAAAACCCTAAACTGGGGGGTGGGAGAGTCCTAGCCCTGACTCTATTATTAATTAGTTGTGTAATTTTGAACAATCTGTTAACCACCTCTGGGCCCCAGTTTTATCATCTGCAAAATTCAATCACTGTCAATGTCTTCTATAATTGAAACTAACCAACTCAGTGAGAATGGACAATTCATTCTATCAAAGACTAATGTTGATTTATAAACCTAGAGATGAAAACTTTTGGTCACAAAGTCATAAAATGTTAGAATTAGTCTCATGTAAACCTTTTGGAAAGCTAAAAACCTCAAAGGAGAGGCCTCAAAGGAGACATGAGCAGTCACAGGTCACAAAGTTGGCAGCAGAGCCAAAACAAAGCTACTGAACTTGTCTTGGACCTAAAAAAACCCCATTACTTAGACTCAGAGTTACCAGTAGAGGACATACAAGCTTACCTGTATGCAAGAGCCAAAGCCCAGGCCCCAGCAGCACAGTACAGACTGTCATGGACCTTGGCCTTCTGATCATCACCGCATGTTTTAGTAGGAAAGAGACCCGTGGTGGGACTTTGATACAGTAGTAATGTTGACTTAACTGCAATCAAAGACAAGAAGAAGAGTGAACTGTACAGCCAGCCATTTTCCTTAAATTGAAGGTCTTAATCTTTGGTTTCCTCCTCCTGTTTCCGACAATTTTGTTGTTTCTCAACTTAACTGAAGTATAAAACTTCTGAAGATTTAGAAACAACTCTATGTAAGTTCAGCTTAGGTAGGGACCCACCCTGCATAAAGGGGTCTTTCTACTTTTGAGGAAAGGACTCAACTAATTAGCACATAAAAAGCCTTTAGCACATCTTGGTTGACATCAGTAAGTGTTATAAGGTAACATCAGGTGCAAAAAAAAAGATTAACCAAAAAACTAAGCATATTTTCAAAAAATCAGTTCAAAGGGAAAAATAAAGCAAATGTATAACAAAGAGTTGCATAGATTTGCTAAATTCAAAGCCAAAACAACTGCTAAACAGACCAAAATCCTGTTTTTCACTGATGACTAATTTGTGCCTGGCTTCAGAGCAATGTATTCCTTTTACATATTATATTGGGCAGGTTAGTGATATGTTTAACATTGCAAAACTGAATTTCATCCTCGTATGACATGAAAACAGCAAGCAAATAATTATTTCACGAGCATTTTACTTAAATAAAAGGAGTATGAAATTGATATTCTACAGTCGTCCCTCAGTACACACAGGGGATTGCTTCCAGAACCCACCATGCATACCAAAATCCTTGGACACTCAAGACCCTCACGTAAGATAGCTAGTACAGTAGAACCTCTTATCTGCAGGTTCCACATCCGCAGACTATATCACTTTTTACAAAGGAGTCCTAAAATAGAAAAATAAACACACTAAAATTACATTTCCTAAAAGCTATTTTACGGATATAAATGGATGAGTAATGTTTTTCCTCAAAATACATTAAATTACTCTAATCTAGACTGGCATATATTGATACTTTTAGGGTAGTTTTTCAAAGTATTCTGGTCCTTCACAGAGATTAAAGAATTAAATTTATTTTTCTTTTTCTCAAACTAAACTGACGTTATCATTTCTTTCAGAATACCAGGGTATTTATTATTTTTCCCAGAGTAAAGAACTGGTCCTCATAGTGCAAAATAAACAACTGACATTTCTTTAAAAAGGTAGTTAAATCTCTTTAGCAAGTTATGGTTACAAAAATAATAAATGGCCAAGCTAAGAATGTATATCAAAATCTTAACCAAAATAAGTTGAATTAACACTTTACATGAGGTTGACACAAACAAAAAAAATCATCCTCCTAAGGGAGACAAATAAATCAAATTTTATATCTGAAATACTAGGCCATGTAAATGGCATAGGAAGTAAACTGACAAAAAATTAATAGGCATCCAACTGATGGTCTGATGAACAAAGAGGAGCTCCCTACATACGAATCTCAAAGTTCCTTACTCACATTAAATAACAAAATTTGCCAGGTTGATCCTGGTAAAAACAAAACAGCAACAAAAAAACAGTGACCTGACCTTAATAACAGTAACCTGAGATACTTGTTGTATCTCAGTGAATTAGAAATGGATATAAAAGGTTCAGGACTACCCAGGAACCATTTATTGGTAAATGAGCAAGAAATACTTCTACAAAATCTTTGTGTAAGAATTATTCAAGAAACAGCCTCTAGTTCTCAAATCCGGTCATGTTTAAGAAAGTTAAAAGGACACAGAGCACACTGGTGACAGTTTTAAAATTACTCAAAGGACAGACATGACTTGCTGGATTCCTTTTATAGTCCTGGTATCAACATGCAATTGGAATCTAAGCTTAGATAACCATCAAAGTACTGAACTACGCCGATATCCAAATAAGAGACCATCATCCAATAACGTATGCTATATAACTAAGGCAGAATAAATACAAATCATAGCTACCTAAGAACATGATTTCCTCAGGTTTTGCTTACCAATTCTGTAATAATGATCCAATTTATCCCACAGAGTTTCATTATCAGGTCTCAGAAGATTAATGCTTTTAAGAGGTTCATAAATGGACCCTGAAAGAAAAATGAAAACCCATCAAATTCAGTCATTTTCACCCAGATAAACAAAGAAACTTCTGAACCAATGAAGAAGCAGTATTTAGCAATCTCATTTTCATTTTTGTTGTGAACTGTCATATTTCACTACTGGTCAAATTTTGGGTGGGGAAAGGAGAGAGAAGAAAGCACCCCTGAAGCAAGTATAGAGCACTTCTAAATGTTATAAGATACCTCCACCCTCACCCTCAGCAGTCAATCCAACTAACTCATGTAAATACTTGTCCCAACAACTCAAATATCACCAATACTCCTGTGGTACTAGCTCAGTGATTTCAGTTCCACTTGAATGTATCTACTTACATGCCCTGAAATCCAAACCTTATTCCTTATGCTCATGCTTTATCAGGCAGTTTTCTGTCAAACAATCATACCCCCAAAATCTCAGGGAAAAAGATACCACTTCATCTTCCAAAGTCATCCATTCCATGAATATTCACATAGTTTTCATACTGAAACTCTGAAACCTCCACTTTCTCCTAGGTACATAATACCTGCCTTATTATTGAGACTATAAGCAGAAACCATTTCCACTTCTCAGCCATAGGAAACTACACCAAGGTGTCAGCAGAGAACACTGCTCAAAAGCTACAGAATACACATTAATCATGATAATTTACAACAAAATGGATACAGGACATTGTTCACTTGACTAGTGTACTTTCTCAACTGCTGGCTGAAAGAAAGACACCTGACCCTTCAGCCATCAGACTAAGTACTGTCTTTTTCTTCTTAAAAGCACTCAGAAATCATAAACATCTCAAGGTCACAATTAATCCACCCTAGGACTCAGGTAATGCACGTCACATAGTCTAAAAACATAGCACAAGAGTGAGTCTATAATTTACCTGGGGAGCTGGGGTTCATTTTGGCATGTATTAAGAATCTGTTTTCAAAGAAAATTAAAGCATTTATGCTCAGAAAATTGCTATGTCCAGTATGCTAAAGTCAAGGTATTGGGAACCCCTTTGTGTTTAGGCAGACAGTAAACGCTATAAAGGAAGTGAGGTAAGGATCTATACATTAAGTCAATACTCTCATTATCTTCTTTTGGAAAGAGAGAATTTGCGGATTGAAAACAGAGAATACAAAATGACCTGCTCTTAGTGAAGAGATTTTTCTTAAAAAAGTCTTCACAATGACACCAACCAGAATGGCCCCATAGTGAAGAATGGAGGAAACCTATCAACATAGACGGGGAGGCACTGGGCCTCCTGCAGAGGAGGTAAGGGCCAGACATGCCCTCTGTCTCCCTGCATTCAATTTGCTCTGGGTAGATTTAAGGATATGGGCAGCCTGGCAGTTGAGAAGGAATTAACACTACTTGCGTGTCAGGTGCTAAGCTCACATGCTTTCAGTGAAATTCATCCATAATTAATAAAATAAAATCAGGTACAAATCATCATGTTTTAAATTGTGCATACATATATATCAGAGATTAAAGGGGATGCCTTTGCCTGGGGTGAAATGATTGTGGATGAATAACATTTCTCTTTTTATTTAGAGCACTATTCCTAAAGCTAATATTTTGCTTTATATAAGAAAAATAAAATCAACCAAAAGTTGCATATATACTTTCATTACAATTAGGTAAAATAACACATGTGCATATGTATGAAGATTGAAATAGACTATGCAAAACTGAAATCCATCTGCATTATAATGGTCGGTGAATTTATTTTGAAAGATTATTTTAATGACATTGTATCATGGTTTTTAGAGTGAAAAAAATACTTGGTTTTAAAAGTGCTATCACATATAAGATGCCCCTCACCTCCCAAAAAAGACTAAAGTGATTCTACCATCTAATGTTTCTCAAAAACATCATCTATGGAGTTTCTGAGAAGCAACAAAAAATGAACAAAAGGAAAACCAGACTTTTCAAGAAAATAAATACCCATTCACTAAGAGCTAAAAGACAAAATGTTCAAAGCATAGCAGAAAAGTTTAAAAGTAAAATCACCTAATTGAGAATCTATAAGAAAACCCATGGTGAATAAAGAACTTGGTCAAATAAACGTTAAAATTTTAGTGACTGCCATTATACTGCTTCTGCAGTAACAGCTTAAAATAAAATAAGAATGTTCCATACAATTTATGGTGAACAGTACCACAAATCTGAAGTCAAAGGACAAGTAATCAATGGTAAATTTTAAACAAAAAATAGGGAACTGAAAAGCATCAATACAAATAAAAACGTGGAAAAGCAATCAACAATGGAGCACGAATTGCCAGACAACGAAAAGGATGCAAAATAACAGAAAATTCTAGCACACGTTTAAAGTTCAAAATGAAATGAATTTTTAAAATATAATTTTTCCTTTATGTTTTCCCATTTGAATTATGCCTATATTCAAACACCACAAAGCAAAATGAAACTTATCAGTTATCAAGTTTGTAAAAAGAGTTTAAACATATCAACCTAATTTTTTACCTGTCAATTCCCTTTGTGTCAGAAAAATACAATCTACATTTTCATTTCAGAACATATTATTGTCAAAGAGATATAGTGACAAAGAACAATACAAGAGAAGATGAAGCAGAAGTTGTTGCTTGAAGAGAAATACTACAGCTTTATCAAAAAGGAAGAAACAGGTATTTACTAACAAGGAGATTAAAGAACGAGTTTCCTAAGTCATTTATATGAGACAAAAAAATAATATTAAGAAAGAATTAGAAACTGCACAAAGGTATAAACTATCTGAATTTTGCACTATAAAACACCCAGAAGGTTTCTGGAATGAGGAGGCTTTTAAGAAATCACAAAACAGCAATGGTAGTTTAAATAATAATTGCTGAAAAAGATGATCCAATAGGAAATTCAAGGTAGAAAACTAATCAGAAAACCAAAACAATATCAATAGTCTATTATTTGTGCACAGTACCTACCATAATATGATTGAAAGCTCTTTAATACATAAAAATATTATTAATCAAGACTCTAATGATTCCTGAAGTAGCTTTATCATTTTTCCATGTGTGCTGGTAGACTAAGATAAATATCATTCTTTATTCATTCAGTTAATATATACAGTGGATACATAAGACTCTGGATCATACATCTAGCAGGCTACCAAGGCTTACAGATTAGGAAGAATGGTAAGATAAGGTAATAAGATAGATATATAAATATATTTGAATAACATATATTTGAATAACATACTTAAATTATATGTATATATAATACACATGTATATATTATATATACATGTATATTTGAATAACAATGTAGAGTGGTGAGTTCCTTAAAAGACAAAGGACAGGAAAATTCTATCCCTTGTGGGGCTCAGAGAACAGAGAACTACTATATTGCAAACTGTGAAAATAACAGCACTTTAAAATAATGAACTGCCATCTAAATATGAAGATAACTGGAATCCAGGAGGATGTGACACCATAAACATTTATACACACATACTTAATATAGTTCTTAAAACTTATACACATGACTTAGGAAACAAGATACTACACATTGAGTTTTTTTTAAAGTGATATACATAAAAAGGTTTAAATGAAGCAAGTATATCACTAACGGTTAAATTTTATTGAAACACTGTCCACATATGCCCTTTCACAGGAAAGAGAATTTTATTATAAGTCTAAATTCTTAGAAAGTCCTATAGGATTCTGATTTTCTCCTTCACTTAAAATAACTTTTTTTCGGATAAAACAAATACCATTTTATCACCCTAAAAAAGGTATCAATTATATATATATATAATTTGCCACACATAGAATCATAACCTACATGCTATTTTTCTCATGGACAGAAGTCCTTTTTCCCCTTACCTCACATCTTGCCCTATTCTGTCCTCATAACCATACTTTTTCCCATGTTCATGTAATCAAACATATACACACAAATGAGGGAAGAGTCTGTCCTTGCTTGTGTTATAAAAATGGGATCATGACACAGAGCCATCCTTACATCTTGCTCCTCGCATTTAACAACGGACAGGGAAATCACTCAAGGCAAGGGCTCTGCCTAATGGATGCTATATATTCCACTACCCTCTATCAGTGGGTATACAATTTGTTTCCTATTTTTGCCATCATCAACAATACTGCAAAACATCCTTATATGTAGATATAGCCAGTAGTACGCCAGAACCAGCTAGAACTGGCTGGAGAGAGTCAACTGTTAAATTTTCAGAAATTCTGGGACTGGTTATGAAACACACTCATAACTGAAAATTAAATTGTATAAACTTGCAACTAATTATTAAAAACAAAGGTAAAAATATTCAAAACTCATCACTTTCTAATTATTTTACTACATTTTACTATTATATATGCTCTTGAGTTTATTTATATCTATACAGTGGAAATATTATGTAACAGCTTGTTACATATAACACGTCTTAAAAAATCTTTTCCCAACTCTGCATTCAGTGATGTCACACAGAATTGAGTACCTGTGACAAAACCCACACAGCCTGCAAAGTCTAAAATACTTACTATCTGACCCTTTATAGAAAAAGTTTTCCCATCTCTGGTCTAAATTCCCAGAAGTAATATTGAATTAAACGATAAATTCACTTTTTACAATAAATGGCAAACTGCATTTTTTAAAAAGGCTAAAATAATTCACATTTGTATCAGAAATATAAGTATTCCACTCTTTTAAAAGTTTCCCAATCTGATAGGAGTAAAGTAGTATCTCTCTTTTAATTAATTTTCACTTCCCATACTACTAGTGAATTTGAGAATCTTTATAAACTGGCCATTTGGATTTGCTCTTCTGGGAAATGTCTGTATCTTATTACCATTTGATATTTGCTTTGTTAGTGTTTTTGTCATCAATTCCTAAGAGCTCGCTGTATATTTTGTTTACTACTTCACATTTCCATTTCAGATATTTTCCCCTGAGCTTTCAATATACCAGTGTGAAAAATATTTTAAAAAATTAATAGTCAAATCTGTCTCTTTCTCCATTTGGTTCTAGTTTTCCTTTTTGT